CTGCTTAGTATCAATACCTCTGCTCAGTTCGAATACATCTGCTTAGTATCAATACCTTTGCTCAGTCTGAATACCTCTGCTCAGTCTAAGTAGCTCTGTTCAATATGAATAGCTCTGCTCAGTATGAATACCTCTGCTCAGTCTGAATACCTCTGCTCAGTATCAGTACCTCTGCTCAGTTTGAATACTTCTGCTCAGTATGAATACCTCTGCTCAGGCTCAATACCTCTGCTCAGTTTGAATGCTGTTATATGGGGACATGACAGCTCTTACTGCTTATGAAAGGGCTTCATTTTCATAGTGAGGTTTCTAAGAGACAATATCGAAACATTTTGTCTGACTTTCAGGATGAATTGTAACAAAAAATATGTACAGTCAGTGATATTGCGGTTAATACATCCTAATTAGATAACATTAGCTAGGTGTTTGCAAATCAGACTGACCTGCACTAGAAGTTTCTTTTTTATATGTCTGTTATTGGGCTGTATTTTGCAGTATCCTTTTGGAGGGCTTTTTTTTCTGTGTCTTTCCCTCTCTACTCCCTTAGCTGCTTCTTGTCTGTTCTTCAGTGCATCTGTTTCTCATTACTTTTATTTACAGTATCCAGATGGAGATGAGGCGAATAATGACCGATAGCACTGCAGGACTAGCGGGTTCATGACATATATAAAACAATTGCATTTGACTATATTGACCAAACATCATTTCTAGGACCTACAGGATTTGCCAGCACCTTGGCTAAAAAAAAAACAAAAAAAAAAAACAGAGCAGGCCAAAATCAGTTGCAGGACAAACCGGCTCAGTAATCCTGTGCTTCTCAATGAAAGCCCATTTGCTTCAGCTCTCCAATGCAGACATTTACTGGCTTTGTGGCTGAACCATGTGTTTTTAAGGTGGATGAAAAATAAACACTTTTGTAAGTTTTTTCGTGCTGTTCTTTAGTGCTATACATATTTAAAAAGGGTAAAGTATTTTAATCATTATATTTATCAGTAGGCATTTGTTTATTACTGTTTGTGGAAGTCTCTAAATTAATGTTTTTTTTTTTTTTCAGTCGATTTCTGATGGTCTCATGAGCCTCAACACATGCAAGTCAGAATTTGTGCCATGCATGCGCGGTGTAAATTTGTAAAGGGAAGCAGTCAGATTACGAAGATGCAGTCCAATCTGTACCACGCATTAATGGTTTATGGCTTGATTAAAATTGCCACACGTGCAACACAAACCCTGCAATGCAATCATTTATCATAACATAAATGGCATAATGTTAAAAAGGCTGTTATTATGAATAGTATGGCATATAGTGGTCTAAACTTCCAACAATTTGCTTCCTTTGTTGGAAGTTTCCTTCTTTATGATTTTAAGATTTTAAGATTTTACATTGTAAATCTACTTTTTTGGTCATTCCCTGGTTTAGGATAGTACAAGATTTCTCATTGCAATGGAGATTGTTGGTATTCTGAACTTTCACACATTTTTTTAAAAAGTTTAAATAATTATGTCATAAAGCTAATCAGGCAAATGCCATCAGCTACTAAACAAAATGACCAACCAGCAGTCTCACATCATCTTTTGTTCTTTTAGTCAGCGAATCCCAATCTGCGTAGCTAACCCTGGAAGTAAACCACAGAGCCTGTTTTAGAGATTTTCTCTGCTTACACACTTATTAATCTATTTTAGACAGCTTGCTGTGCAAAGTCATTCAACATAAGTTTACATTACATTTGGTATATAGGGGCTTTGTGCTGTACTGTATATATAACGTAAAGAAACAGAAACCTGTCACTTCCTGCTGTGTTTGCGGACACTGATCACAGCATTATAAAAATCACAAAACGAGCCACAAGCCACATGTACGTATAATGACTGGCTGTATTTTAACCCATACCTAAAATTAATACTGACATTGGTTTTTTACCAGGGGTGGAGGAGGGTTCGTGGGTTGAAACTGTGGATTCTGTGAACAGTCATTCCAGCAGAGCCGTTACGGGTATAGAGACAGGCTCGGACCCAGTGCCCCTCAATGCTTAATAAATAATACTTTAGTAATGCTGTAGTCTTTGTTATGTGGTTAGAATGCGAGTACAGCTAAGTAATTGGACTGAAATATGTGTTTATTCTTATTTACAACCCATAAATTACATAGTGCCATTTTACTTTTGATATCAAATGATCACAGCAGCCAGATGACCACATGATAAGTCCTTCACATTGTGTACACCAATTTTTTAAGACAAATGTTAGCTCTGGACATCATTAGGACACGGTTATAATAACCAAGGAAACTGAGTGCTGTTAGCAAATAGATATAAATAACATTGTACATGATCTTGAGATCACAAACTTCCGTAAATACTGCTTATTAATTACCCAACAGTGTGAATCTTAAGGATAAGAGTTGAACTAAAAGGAGTACCTCAGGTGCATAACATCTTAAGCAATTGGTGTTACATGCAGAACATGGTCAGACTTAATACAGGAATTAATTCAGTTTTTGATCAGATAGTGGCTGTCAAAATAATTCACCATGCACCTGCTCCATCACATCATCATTTAAACAGAAGTGCATTTACATACACACACTGTACAGACAGATAAAAGCCTGCTAAGTTTGTTTAAAATAGCAAGAAATGTTTAAAATATCAAGAAATGTGGACAACATAACAAAACTGACTGAATGAATTAGTGATTATTTCCTAACTGATGTAAGCACAGAGATGTATTTGTATTCATCACCGGACGTGCCTAAAAACTACAAATAGTAACAATAGATTTTCACCTTATAGTGCAGAAATGGGAGAAGGGGTGAAATGAGAAAAGTAGCCTCTAGATTGCTGTGCTTGGGTTCCTCGAAACCCTTACTGTATGTTGGCCTTCTCACTGCACATAGTTGTGTCATGTCTTCACTCTGTACCATTACTTAATAACCTCTGAGGTCTTTACGGCACCGGGATATATGAGTGAGTGGCTGTGCCTGTGCTTGCGGGCTCTGACCTTGTCACCAGAGCTGTCGACCTAATGATGAATTCACAGAGAAGCTCACAGAGAGTTAGGCCAGGCTGCTGAATTGATTAGGAATCCCACAGGGAACAAGACTGCTTACCTATGCAATTCTTAAGCCCCAAATGAGTGCCCACAACGTGATGTGGTGAGGGCAGGGTCAATAAAAGAGGGCTACATGAATTGTTTGTCTTTTTTCAAATTGAAGATACCATTTTCCCTAGAACAAGGGTAACACTCTCAAAGCACTGGCTCATTCTAAGGCTTTGAAGGGCAGCTAGTTGTCCAGTTGTGTTTCTTGCTTGCTTGAATATAAGCCTAAATTATTGCGATTCTCTTTACAAGCCAGATAAAATTAATTAAGGTGAAAGCTGTAGTGATACCATTTTCCATGTTCAGTGGGCCTCATTTATCAGCCTTTTAGTAAAGTTGGGTGTAAAGATTTGCGTAAGATAAACCAAAGTAAAAATTTCTGCAGGACTTATAAAAGTTTAAGAAAGGTTGATTTTCTCGTGCTACTCTGTATATGTTGATCACCTGTAAAGTGCAAAACGTTTTCCAGACTCAGCTCATTTGCATTCAGTGATGCCCACAAAACTCCATAAAAGTTCATGTGCACAGAGGGCTGGAAACATGAAATCATGAATAACCGGTGAAAGAAAAGGCAGAAAGCAGAAGTGGAAGTTATTCTGACTCACCTTTATGCCAATAAAAACATTTAGCAGTGTAAAAGGCCAAAATCTAGAGACAAATTGCAGAAAAGGTGAATTAGCTGCGAATTAAGTGAGGTGAAAAGAAAATGGCGTGACATAAAAATGGAAGAGAAAAATGATCTGCACTGCACCCAGGTGATCATGCACACCAAGCAAATCACACATGGAAACTTATATTTTAAAATTGCTTAAGTGTCTATTTGCTCTAAATCTTCTGTCAGCTGAGGCGTTTGTTTACATCTTACAGCTCTGCATTTACGGCAGCATTCGTTTTGACATATTTGAATCATTAGTTTTTATTTTTCTTAATTTTGGGTTTGTGTTGGCTCACTTTCTTTATTCTTTATTCTTTTTTCATATTCTTTAATTAATGCCAATAATTAAAAACTCTTATTACAATATGCAAAGCACGTATATCCATGAAGGCAGCTCATACAAAATGTCCCCATTTTTCAGTCTACTAAATATAGATACAATCTATAATAAGATTGAAGATTCCCATTAGTGTCTTATCCAACTCATATTTTGTTGTACATTACATTTCCAGTCTAGCCTTTAGAAGGATATTTTCCCTAATCCTCCTGAAAAATACTCTGGGCTAACTTATCCTGATTCTGGACAGTTCGCTGCAGAGAGTCCAGTCAGAAATCGGTGTTAATATGTCAACATTCACTAGACTGAGGACGCTGAAACCCGACGTTCACTGAAGGTTGCTTTAATAAAGTGGAATTGGGTGTGGTTTTGAATGTATGCACAGCACCTTAAAAAAGTAAACCTGACTATGAACTATTTTACCAGTAAACAAATAAATAATCTAACTACCATTGTGCAATGAAATGCCTAAACACCATCAGAAATGAGTCAGTATCTCTGGCTCTGAGGAGATCCACATATACATCTCTGGTGGCCATACATTTAAATAGTATGCCCTATCACTTCTCATTTCTTCTTCCAATCTTGATTACATATCAACCAAAACAATCAACTCCAGTAGAGTAAAAGGCAAGTCTAAAAAGGCAACGTCAGTCATGCTGGCTGAAGATCGGGGTCTGCCATCCTATGAAGCTGCAGGGCGATGGCGTTGATGTACTCTTTGAGCATTTGATATTGCATGGGATCTGGCAGGGATGAAGCTGAGGTGGTTAGACCAGTGATGGTTGACTTTTTTAGTTCAGTCTCTGGCTCTGCAGAAACCGAGGAAGGTGGTTCCGGCCAATTTTCAGGGGATGATTTTAAAGATGCTGGCCCTTGGCTCCATTGACTTTCTGCACCTAATTCCTGATGGGTGCAGTTGTGGCTTAATGGTTAGAGTCTCGGACCTATAACCCGAAGGTCATGGGTTCTAGTCAGGTCTGGCAGGGATTGTAGGTGGGGGGAGTGAATGATCAGCGCTCTCTTCCACCCTCAATACAACGACTGAGGTGAGACCCTTGAGCAAGGCACTGAACCCCAACTGCTCCCCGGGTGCCGCAGTAAAAAAAAAAAAAAAAGAGACTGCTCTGGGTGTGTGTTCACTACTGTGTGTGTGCACTTGGATGGGTTAAATGCAGAGCACAAATTCCGAGTAAGGGTCACCATACTTAGACACACGTCACTTCACTTCACTCTGGTGATGTTATCTGCTGGGTTATCTACTGATGGATGTTGCACCAACAGTCAGTTCTTTTGTCTCTGCTACTCGAGTACCAATGAATACAGTGTAGTGGCAGGAATCTGACAACAGCCAAGTAAGTACTTTCAAAGTGTCAGACCACAAGGTGACACTGCGGGTTGGAAGAGTTAACTCAGTGGTGATGACTTTACATAGCTGTGCACTGGTCAGTGATGCACACAGTTTTATGCGAGGGATGGACTGCTGTTTCTTAGGTGCAGTGTGCAACCTTACAGCCAGGAAGAAAATTTCCATGGTTCCAATGGGGCTTTCAGTTCTAAGATAAGCCACACAGCCATAAGCATGCTCTGAATCATGCTCTCATCATAGAAGATGTGAATGTCTCTCATACTGCTGGGAAGATCCAGTTTACCTTACGCAGCTATATCCCTTGCAGGTCCTTGAGTTCCTTTTCCCATAGGTGCCAAGAATGGAGAAGCTCTTCACGTAGCTGCGGGTCATCCCACTCCCTCCATCTGTCCCAAAAACGCTGTACAAGGACTATGGCTTTTGTGGTGTAAGGGACAATATACCCCAAAGGGTCATACTGACTGGCCAGGACTTTGTAAATGTTCCTCATAGTTACAGAGCAGCCCACTACTCAATGTTTTTAGGACAGCATGTCAGATGGGCAGTGCCAGTGAAACCCAAGAGCTGAATCCAAGAGCTGAAACATCTTGCTGCCCGTGGCTTAGCCAAAGCTCACAGGGGTCTGATCTTATGTCTGAAAGAAGATGGCTATGGACTGAGGGATCATTACTTGCTCACTGTCTTAGTTCAAATCCCCCAGTGACCAACAACTGTCGCAGCTTGTCTACCAGGGTCCTGGCAATGGTCCTGCATGTGAGACTCTCTTAACAGTTATCTATTCAATTCAATTAAATTTTATTTGTATAGCGCTTTTAACAATGGACAATGTCACAAAGCAGCTTTGCAGAAATAAATAGATTCAAATTAAATTAAACCAAAATAAATTGTAAATATGTGAATTTATCCCTAATGAGCAAGCCAGAGGTGACGGTGGCAAGGAAAATCTTCGTGAGACGATATGAGGAAGAAACCTTGAGAGAAACCAGATTCAAAAGGGAACCTATCCTCATCTGGGTGCTAACAGAATCCTGCAATTATAAATAGATCCCCTCTATAACGGTGTACTAAATGGACAAATAGTGCAGTTGTGCAACCAGTAAATTCATCACGGTTTTTACAAGAAGTTCGGTTTGTTAAACCTATCCACTGTCCATTGATGAAGTGCTGAGTACAAAGCTGCTCATGGCAACCGCAGCCCCAAAACCACCACAGCAGTTGTAGTCCCAAGCCAGCACAGTACAGCTCCCCATATGAGATCCCCAAGCCATCTCCACGGCCCAAGTGGCACCATCCCCAGCTATCCCAATGATCTAAGGCCGTCCATGTGGGGCCACCCCCAGCAGCAGTGAGCGATCTCAACCGATGAGAACTCCAGCCAGAAGGGCATCAGGATGGATCAGGCAGGTCCGGAGAGCAGATGGGGTCAGGATCACTGGCATCTCAGGAGTAGCATGTGCAGCAGAGAGAGAGAGAGAGGCAGAGAGAGAGAGAGAGAGAGAGAGAGAGAGAGAGACATAGATTGTTAGGTAAGCTTTTGTCCCATAATGATTAAGGACAATATACTTTGTGTGCAGAATGCAAGCAGGGACTCCGGCAAGACTAGCTGTGACAGCATAACTAAAAGGGAGAGCCAGAAGGTAACACAGACATAGGGGCACCCTGGGACATAAAGTGGCCAGCCACTCCACTGTCGACAAACCCGAGTGAATGCATGAGAGTGGGAGGCAACAGCATCCAAACATCCCAGTTCACCTCAACACTCTATGCCTGTGAACCCTCAAGACCTGCTCCTTTACCTAAGAAAAAAACACAAAAGGCTTGACTAAACAAATATGTTTTCAGCCTAGACTTAAACACTGAGATGGTGTTTTGAGCCACAAACACTAACTGGAAGGCTGTTCCATAACTGTGGGGCTTTGTAAGAGAAAGCTTTACCCCCTGCTGCAGCCTTCACTATTCGAGGTACCAACAAATAGCCTGCACCTTTTGATCGAAGTAGGCATGGCGGATCATAAAAGACCAAAAGTTCGCTCAGGTACTGCTGCACGAGACCATTCAGTGCTTTATAGGTCAATAGTAGTATTTTATAATCAATATGAAATTTGACTGGGAGCCAATGCAGTGTGGATAAGATAGGGGTGATGTGGTCATATCTTCTGGTTCTAGTAAGGACTCTCGCTTCTGCATTCTGGACTAACTGGAGTTTGTTTATGCTTCTACTGGAACATCCATACAGCAAGGTATTACAATAATCCATCCTAGAGGTAACAAAAGCATGAACTAATTTTTCTGCATTATGTAGTGAGATTATATTTCTTATCTTAGCAATATTTCTGAGATGAAAGAAAGCTATCCTAGTAATATTATCTACATGAGCTTCAAATGAAAGACTGGAGTCAATAATCACACCAAGGTTTTACTGCTGCACGTGATGAAACAGAAAGGCCATCCAGCGTTATTATGTAATCAGAAAGCTTACTTCTAGCTGCATGTGGTCCAAGTACAAGTATTTCTGTCTTGTTAGAATTAAGTAAAAGAAAGTTAATAAGCATCCAGTGTCTAATGTCCTTTACACATACCTCAACTTTATTAAGCTGGTGTCTGTCATTTGACTTTGCAGAAACATACAACTGTGTGTCATCAGCATAACAGTGGATGCTAATACCATGTTTACGAATAATTTTGCCCAGAGGTAGCATATAGAAAGAAAAGAGCAGTGGGCCTAAAACAGAGCCTTGCGGAATGCCAAATTTTACCTTAGTATGCGTAGAGAAGTCACCATTTACATCTACAAACTGATAACGATCAGTCAAATAAGACCTGAGCCAGGAGAGGGCCATTCCCTTAACGCCTACAATAGTTTCTAGTCTATCGGGGAGCCTTTCATTGCTCTAGGTTGGCGTTTCTATTTTGGCTCTGATCTCATATGCTAACTGTGGGAACTGGAACATTCTCTTGCCACATCTCATGCAGTGACGCAGATAGTTCAGTGAGATGACTGGCCTGAGAATGCAAAGCTTTGTTACCCTCAGCAACTTCCTGGCATCTGACTTTAGGAGCTGGTAACTCATTAGCCTTTCAACGAAGCACTGTATCCTCTAGTTGTACATCATCTAGCACCCACAGGTCCTTAACAAACCACTGATCTGACTCACTATATTGACTGATTGGAGTAGAAGCTCTGTAGGGTGCCTTGGCACCTGGTGACTGGTGCTCTACTCCATGTTCCTCAGGCAGGGATGAAAGATGCACTCTCCTCAGGGATCTGGGTTAAATGAACTCTTAATCTGTTAGATATGCAGGAAATATCTAAGTAAGGCCTGGCTACAGGTGCGTCTCGTTGAGAATGTGACATATTGCTGCAGTAATTGTCCTATATGGCTTGAAGGACAATGATAAATACTTTGGGCTGACTTATCCTCGTAACTTATCCTGACTTATCCTGATTCTGGAAAGTTCAAATCACTGCAGAGAGTCCGGTCAGAACGCTGTGTTAATATGTCAACATTCAGTAGATTGAGCATGCTGAAACCCAATGTCCACTGAAGGTTGCTTTAATAAAGTGGAATTGGGTGTGGCTTTAAATGTACACACAGCACCTTAAAAAGGAAACCTGACTATGAATATGGATTATATCAGTAAACAAATAAATAACTCCCATAAGTCCAGATGGGCACTGTGCACATCTCTCCTCCTCTAGACTCCCCGAGGAAAAACAAGGGGACAGTGATGATGCGCACTGCACTCAGATCAGTCTGTCTGTGATTCACATTTAAAGTGACAGTGGCCTTTTTAACACCCCAAAGCAAAAGAGCTTTTCATCCTGTCATTTATCTTTCTTGATATTATACCATGGTTTCGATCGAGTAAATGTCACCCCTGTGCAATCGGATATGTCGCCCCTGTGCAATGAAACACCTCTTAACACATCCAAGATGACCAAGATGGCGCTGTGCTATGACCAAGATGGCAACGTGCTAGTGATGATCAACATGACTCCGTGCTAGTGGCAGCTGATTACAGCAGCTCCCGTCCCAAGAGACATTATTTCTTACCTATATTAGATTTTTCTTTACTACCTGTCATTTTTTGTTTTTTCAGCGCTTCTCTGTCTCATGTTGTTTTTATATTTATTATGCACTCTAAACTCGGAATGGAGAGCCACAGGGAGAGAGCAGGTTGCTTCATGTACACAGGCAATCAGCTGCTGGTGCTCCGAAGATCTGTGCCACGCTCCAGAATGCGGCTTAATATTCCTGAAGAACTGCATAGACTGTACAGAGGATTCAAAGCTGGATCCAAAACGAAGACAAAGAGGTACAAGCCCTTCATGGCCTCCATTATCATGGGAAACGTTAGGTCTCTTGGCAGTAAGATGGATGAGCTCAGAGCACTGATCAGGACCCAGAGGGAGTATTGGGAGTGTGTTATACTGAGACACAGCTGCACAAGGATATTCCGAAATGCTTGAGTGCCATCTCCGGCTTTCAGACAGGGAGTGTGGACACAGATGCTGGACTGAGTGGTAAGAAGAAAGGTGGAGGGGTTGCACTGTTTGTAAACAACAGATGATGTAATTCGGGACCTGTTACTGTGAAAGAGCATCACTGTTCCATA